CCTGGCCTACTGTCCCTTTCTCTGTCACTACATCTTTCTTAAGGCTCCGCCCACTAACTTCGTCCCACCATGGCCTCCTTACCAGTTCTTCATCCCCCCTGTTCCGGACACAATTTTTTTCACACAGTTGATGTTTGAAAGAAGATTGAGGTTCAGCAGTTCTGAAAGGGAGAAAGAGAATACCCGTCAGAGCACAGGGGACAGTCCCGAAGCCTGGCTCTCCCTTCAAGGCATGTGCCACCCAGTGGCTGAGAACTTCCGGACGAGGCAAGTCTTCCCCCTCAGAGGCCCATTTGGACATCCGTACAATGGCTGCTGGAGGTTGGGGATGGTTGGGGGGTGGGGGCAGGAAGGGCAGGAGGGCTGAGATTTGAGCCTGTTTACTGCCATACTTCCTAATGGATGGTAGTTCACCCCAAGTGTGGAGGATTCTAGGGAAAGGAAATGCCAAAAGAGGCAGCACAGAGACAAAGGAAAAGTCCTGCCTGAGGAGGGAGGCTCTTCAGGTGAAGAGCCCAGGGCCATTAATCAGAATACAAAGGAGGAGATGGGGGACACAATCACGGACTTGTGGAGCCTCCTGGATTAGCCCTGAGGTGGGAGTTTGCACTTGGCCTTCGGTCAGACCATTAGCCAAAGGCAGCTCTACTTGGTGGTGAGAGCTGAGCCTTCAGGGCCACCAGTTTGGCATTCAGCACTGGTTCTATGAGCCTCAGTTTGCTCACCAATAAAGTGGGGATCATACTAGTTTCTACTGCACGGCAAGTTGGATGAAATGAGCTATGTATGTAAAGTACTGAGTATATAATACGCTCTCAGTAAATGCTGGCTGCTGCACTGCTCTACTGCTACTGCCTGTGCAGAGCTTCTCTGGACCCTGCTAGCACACTGCAGAACCTCCTATAGGCATTTAGGGACACGAGTCAACCCTCTGCTCAGTAAAGGGATTCCCTGATTCCTTGAACCAATCCTCTGGGGTTGTTTCCAGGCTGTGTGTGGGAAGGGAAGTCCCGTGAGCAGAGCCTGGTCATCTCTCTCACCTCTCCCACCCTGGGGCCCTGGCCAGACCTTGACAGTCCACTTGGCAAATGTTTTCCGTGTGACTCTTGTCATCATTGCACCAGTAGTGGCTGTTGATCTGGAAGATGCCATAGTCAAAGCTGCCATCTGTATTTTCATTTACCTTTGTTATGTTGAAGTGACTTTCCACGAAAGCCAGGCACAGCCCTTAGAACAGGGAGAAGAGGGTTTTTAGACGGGGGGCCAAGCTGACGGACAAGGAAGACGGAGGAGAAAGGGAGACGAGGAATCAGAAGAAAGGAACAGGCTTCCCTGGTGGTGCAGGGGTTAAGACAACTAAGCCCGTGCGCCACAACTACAGAGCCTGCGCTCTAGAGCCAGCGAGCCACAAGTACTGAAGCCCACGCACTCTAGGGCCCATGCTCCACAAGAGAAGCCACCGCAATGAGAAGCCTGCACAACTCAACGAAGAGTAACTCCCGCTCGCCACAACTAGAGAAAGCCTGCGCGCAGCAACGAAGACCCAACGCAGCCAATAATTAATTAATTAATTTTTTTTTTTTTAAAAAAGAAGAAAAGGGCTTCCCTGGTGGCGCAGTGGTTGAGAGTCCGCCTGCCAAGGCAGGGGATGCGGGTTCGTGCCCCGGTTTGGGAAGATCCCACATGCCGCGGAGCGGCTGGGCCCGTGAGCCATGGCCGCTGAGCCTGCGCGTCCGGAGCCTGTGCTCCGCGGCGGGAGAGGCCACAACAGTGAGAGGCCCGCATACCGCAAAAAAAAAAAAATAAATAAATAAAAAAATAAAAAAAAATAAAAAAAAATAAAAAAGAAGAAAGGAACAAAGCCTAAGAGGCTAGATGGGGCTAGTGGGCCAGAAACACCCATTAGCTTCTCCTCTCATTCTTCAGTCCATCCACCCATCAGTACAACCACTCATCCGTCCATCTGTCCATGCATGATTTCTGCACTTAATGATCACCTACTGTGTGCCAGAAACTGTGCAAAACCCAGTGAGGGACCTTTAGCTGGCTCAAATGCAGAGGCTGCCTTCAAGGTGCCTATAGAATAAGAATGAAGATATGTACCTAAAAAAACCACGAAGCAAGATGAAAGGAGAGAGTGTTATAAGGCAGTCGTGCCTTACAATTCTGGGCAAGAGGGAGCTATCTCTACCATGGAGTAGGACGAAACCTTTGCACTGGCTGTTCCCTCCACCTGGAATGCTCTTCCGTCAGATGTTTGGGGGACTAGGTCCTTTATTCCATTCAGCACTGCTCAATGTCACCTCCTCAGAGAGGCCTTCCTTGATTTCCCCCTCTAGAACAGTGTCACCCATCACTCCCCACTGCTTTACTCTTCTGCATAGCATTTATCACCACCAGGAAGCACTTCATATATTTGTGTGTTTCTTTCTTGTTGTCTCTTCCCCTAGAATGTGAACACTATGAGAGAAGGAGCTGTGTTGATATCTGTATTGCCAGCACCTAAAGTAGTTCCTGGGACATAATAAGTGCTCAGTTAAGAATCATGGAACAAATATCGAATGTTGGGAAAGGCTTCTTGGAGAGGGCTACTTTTTGAACTTGACTTTGAAAAACAAATGAGAGAAAAAGAAAGATGGCCACGGAGGGCATGACCGGGAGAGGAGGAGAAAAGGGGTGTGAGTGTGTGAGGAAACGGCACTCACAGTCGCTCAGGGAGTAGCCCTCAAAGCCATCCAAGTCCTCCTGGTGCAGCACATTGGCCAAGTCACATCGGTTGATGAGGCTGGCTTGATTCACGGCAACGAGACAGCTGACCAAGGAGATGAGTAGCAGGGTCGTCATCCTCAGAGGGGAGGAGACGCAGTGGAGGGTGAGCAGAGGAAGGCCTGCGGGTCCTAGGGTCTCCCAGGAGAGAGAGTCTTCTGGGGAATCTGGAGAGAGCAACCACATGTCCTCGCTTATTCACTGCCCACCTCCTGGCTGTTTCTCTTTCCTCTCATGTATTATTTTATAAATACATTTTTTTGGGGGGGTCTCCTGTTGTTTTGTTTCTGTTTCTGTTTTTGTTTTTCCTAGTCTAAAATTAACGATGCTGGGGCATGTCAAATAGAAATGAGAGCCAGCTCAAAGGGGTACCCACTGGCCAAATCTGGGACAGCATTTTTTGGGTAACAGCTTTACTGAGCTATAATTCACAATATATAATTCACATACCATACACTTAATTCATTTAAAGTATACAATTCAATCATTTTTCACAGAACTGTGCAACCAATCCCACAGTCAACTTTAGAATATTTTCATCAACCCAAAAAGAAACCCCATATCCGTTAGCACTCACTGTCTGTTCCACTTCCCTCCAGCCTCTGGCAACCAATAATCTACCTTCTATCTCTATAGATTTGCATATTCTGAACATGTCATATAAATGAAGTCATACAATATCTGCTCTTCTGTGTTTGACTTCTTTCACTTCACAATGTTTTCAAGGTTTCATCCATCTTGCAGCATGTACCAATATTTCATGCCCTTTCACGGTTGAATAATATGCCATTGTAAGGATATATTACAATATGGTTATGCATTCATCGGTTTGTGGACATTTGAGTTGTTTCTATTTTTTGGCTATTATGAATAATGCTGCTATGAACACTCGTGTACAAGTTTTTGTGTGGACAAATGTTTCCATTCCTTTGGATACATACCAAAGAGTGGAATTACTGGGTCACATGGTGACCTAAAGTTTAAACTTTTGAGGAATTGCTGACATCCAAAGCGGCTGTACCATTTTACATTCCCATCAGCAATGTATGGAGGTTCCAATTTCTCCACATCCTCACCAACAGAGTTATTAACTGTCTTTTTGATCAAGGCTATCCTAATGGGTGTGAAGTGGTATCACGTTATGATTTTGATTTACATTTGCCTCATGGCTAATAATGTTGATCATCTTTTCACATGCTCATTGGCTATTTGTGTAACTTTGGTACAATGTCTTTTCAGAACCTCTGCCCACTTTTTCAGTTGGGTTGTTTGTCTTTTCATTATTGAGTTGTAAGTGCTCTTTATATATTCTGGGTATTAGAACCTTATCAGATACTTGCTTTGCAAATACTTCCTCACATTCTGTGGGTTGCCTTTCACTTTCTTTTCTTTTTCTTTTTTAATAAATTTATTTATTTATTTATTTTTGGCTGCATTGGGTGTTTGCTGCTGTGCGTGGGCTTTCTCTAGTTGTGGCAAGTGGGGGCTACTGTTGGTTGCAGTGCGTGGGCTTCTCATTGAGGTGGCTTCTCTTGTTGCGGAGCATGGACTCCAGGCACGTGTGCTTCAGTAGTTGTGGCATGTGGGCTCAGTAGTTGTGGCTCACAGGCTCTAGAGCACAGGCTCAGTAGTTGTGGCATACAGGCTTTGTTTCTCCGTGGCATGTGGGATCTTCCCGGACCAGGGCTCAAGCCCGTGTCCCCTGCATTGGCAGGCAGTTTCTTAGCCACTGCACCACCAGGGAAGTCCCGCCTTTCACTTTCTTGATGGTGTTGTTTGAAACACAAAATTTGTAAATTTTGATGAAGACTGATTTATGTATTTTTTTCTTTTGTTGCATATGCTTTTGGTATCATATATGTGAAACCAATGCATAATGGTTTCCAAGGTAATCTGGAACAATTTGACCATCAAAATAAATGATGATAGTGACAGATTATAACCCACTGAATGAGATAGGAATCCATGAGTTCATAACAGTAATAGATAAATAGATACATAATGGGGATTAAAGGGGAGCTCTTCTTGACAAGAAAATGCTGACTGATAAAAGTGTTGGTAGTCATGAAGTTTGAAAATCACCATCTTGAAACCATCCTAAACTGGTTTGAGCAAGAAATAATCATCAATAGATGCTAAATATGAGGGGGTGGGAAGCTTGGTGAAGAGCTGAGTATGTTCATGGTCTTAAAGTATCTCCCCTTGATTGCATGAGAAAAACAGTAACAATACAGTGGAGAAACCAGACAGTATTTTGACCTGGTAATCAAAATTAACACCACCAGTGAGGGACAGAGAGAGATTATGTGCCCCCAGATGTGATACCCTGAGAAGGACACACATCACTTATGCAGCACTCTGGCCAGAGATGCATAACCTGTAGCTAATCTTGAGGAAACATCAGACAAAGCCAAATGGAGGGAAAATCTATAAGATAACTGGCCTACGTTCTTCAAAATGATCAATGCCATGAAAGCAAAGAATGAGGCTATTTCTATCACTAGGGGTGTGAGTGTGTGTGTGTGTGTGTGTGTGTGTGTGTGTGTATCTTTCCATTAAACTAGGTGTATGTTCCTGAGGATTCCTCCATCCACTAGCTTCATGAGTCAGGCAGCTTCTTGGACAACATGGCTACCCTGATGCCTGTCTCCTCACGGATGTTTTATTCTGTCTCCTAAGACTCACTCCATTGCAGCCTGAGCTTGCGACCGTTCTTTTGCCTCTCTCTTCCACCCTACAGTTGCCAGATTTAGCAAATAAAATTACAGGATGCCCTGTTACATTAGAATTTCAGACAAACAACAAATAAGTTTTTAGTATAAGTGTGTCTCGTGCAACCTTACTCTGCCCTGACTCAGTAGGGTCCTACAGAGACAGGTATCACTGAACCTCGGAAAGCAGGGAGCTCCATCTCTGCCCATGAAGGCCCCTCTTGGGGTTCCCTGGGGAAAAAGTGGTTCGGGCAGGTGTACCCCCAACTTCCCCTCCCGAGCTTACCGCTCTCCTATGCCTCTCTGACCCCAGGTCCCAGCCGGCCTAGGGCTTTCTGGGAGAATCTGTAGAACAAAGTCGTTTGGGTAGGAGCCTCCTCTTCCTCATGGACTACCCTGTGGCCCCGCCCAGCTCACCGCTCTCCATATTCTAAAGAAGACGGGAGTGCTCAGCCATCCCCACCTTCTGGAACCCCAGTTCTGTGATGTCATCACTCTCCTGGAAATACTCTGGTCTTACATGCAAATTGGCTCAGTCTTGAGGCCAAACTTCAGGCAGAAATGGTAGGTGGGCCTGGAGGGATTGGTGACAACTGTGGGATAGGGTAGAGGGGGCTGGTTGTTCTGTCTGTGCACCTCCCTTCCCTTCTGGGAACAGTACCACCTTTAAGGGAACTCCTTCCCCCATGGGGCTTTAGTGCCACAGTCACAGGGCCCTGCACTCCAGGTGACAGGGTGTGTCCGTGCCCCAACCAGTGTATCTTGAACTGAAATTAGGCAGAGCAGCTCAGCTTCTCCCAGGTAGACTTTGGGTGTGTGGGCCCAGAGGCGGACAGTTTGGAATCACGTGGATACGGCCCATCCGAGAGAATAAGCCTCCTTGAACAGGGATCAGAGTCCAGACAGGATTCCAGCCCCAGGGTCCACCCTTTCTGCAACCTAAACACCCTTTTGCCCTTACTACTACCCTATGATTCAATAAATGTCCTTTCTTGTGTAAACATGTTTGAGTTGAGTTTCTGTCACTTACAACCAAAAGAGACCATCCAGGAGAGAAAGCATGGGGTTAACCATCCACGGAGTGGTGACCTGACAACCTGTCACCTCCCCATGAAGGCCACACATCTTAGTATCATTTGTCAACAAAGTCTGGGAGACATTTCCACCAACTATAGCAAAAAGGAAGCAAGAGAAAATTCTGTTACTGATGTTCACTCCACCCTCTGAAACAGGGTGATAAGGTCTGACAGAAAGGAAGTAGGAAGAGCTTTCTAAGTGGGCAGTGATGCCCCATACCCTCTGGCTTTGGACTTCCCTCCCCAGTGGGACAGCAGCGCATTGCATCTTGGGATGTGAAGGCAGCCGGAGCTCTGGTGGAGGTTGAACTCTGGGAGGAGGGTATTCTCTGGGTACCACTTTATGAAGTATCGTTTGGGGCCAAAAATATGCAGGTGCCTCAGATGACCCAAACTACCATGTCTGTGTAGAATTAGAGACCTGGGTAGGAGGAGAGGCTTCCATAGCCCAGGACCACATGCTGGAAATTGGGCCAGGGGAGGGTCTCCCTGCAGCTTAAAGTCTTAGAGGGGATGATGGCAGCACTCAAAGGGGGACCAGAGGGACCCTCCACCCCCACCACCCAACTGTGACAGACATGAGCCCTGAAAGGATTCCTACCCATTCAAGGACCTGGGACCCAACCTGGGACCCAACTTGGGACCCAAGGATAAATTCTGAATGTTGCAACCTGGGACAAGAAGACATGGAAGCCACAGATCATTGGTCTAAATAAATATTTACAAGTTATAAATCAAACTAACAAGCTGTTAACTAAAATATTTTCTATCCTCATATTCTGACAAACATTCCTTTAAAAGGATAAAATTTTAAAATGTGTATGAAGCTATGGTTTATATATGACTGAAGGTTAGCAAAATGTCAAAGATGAATGAATTTAGTTTTTATTCCACATGTCTAGATGCTCTGTTAATGGGCTGACAATGTTGGGATGAATAATAAACAGATACATAATCCATAAAGGATTATAACTATTCCATGAATTTATTTTTCTTATCTCCCTTTCAATACAATGACTAATTATATTACTATTATCAAGATTTTTCAATATATTTAAGAATTTAAAACATAATTATATTCAAAGTACAAAATTTTAAATATATTTTCATCAAAAATATAAATTTATGTGAAAAATGTATTAATTTTCTGTTTTCCAAAAATTAGTTTCAAAATATTGAAAGGTATCTAATAATTCAAAAGGCAAAATACAAATTAAAATGAATGAATATTAAATTTTTATATCAAATTATTTATATAAATCCAAACACTTTCTTTTACTCTCTGAAAGCTTAATTAAATTTTATTAAGTAACTTTTAATTTTAAAATTTAACTTAAATTTTATTTAAATTATAAATTAATTTTAAAACTATTTTTAATTTAAAACTTTTAAAATGAAAATGTTACAATTCATAAGTCTAGCATTCAATGTCCATCTTGTTGCTAATGTAAAGAATTAGTATTATGTCATGTCTGAAGTCTAAACATATATAAAAGTTTAAGAGTAATATGTAATGTGATTTATGCAATATTACAAAAATTTCCTCAGCTTTTTACAACCGAGGCAAATACTGTACTAATTCCTGTGTACTTCCGGAACCATGAGTAGAAACATGAAAATAAGAATGGTACCACTCAGCACTACTAGAAAATGATATTTCATTGTGTTCAAATCTATTGCGTTCAAGCTACCTGAGAGGAAAGCTCTGACAAGTTAGTCTTTTCTCTTTCCTAAGTTCTTTTCTGCTCAAAGCGTCTCTGGACTCTGAAATTGTACCAAGCAGGAGTCATTAAGCTTTCATCAAACCTTTAGACGCAGTTGCATTTTTCCCCATGAACGTAGGGTAAGATGTAAAGAAGCATCTCCCCAGGGCCTAAACATTGTTAGTCAAGAGAGTGGATGTTTCGGGTTAAGTCGTGCTGTGCCAGTGCTGAGTGCCAGATCTGGAGTAACAGAGGCATCCTGTGGTTTAATTTAATTATCTTGTCTGCAGGTGCACTAAGCACAGGCCCAGCTAGGGGCTCCACTTGTCAGTTTTAATGGCAATACTGGAAAAGTATGCTCTGGCAATAAATTGCTATAGAAACCAGAGGAAAAGTTAAGGAAGTGTCTGCTTTGAGTTTTCAATAAAATATGAGAAAACCCCCAAATGATACCGCTGGCTGAAATGCAGAATACAAGGAACTAAAATCCAGTGACAGAAATGAAATCTGTATTGAAGGCAGGAAGAACAGAATCCACAGGGCAGAAGAGTCAATCAAGGCTGGAATCACACACGTGGGAAGTTCTTCAAATGCAGAGCAGAAAGACGTGTGGAAAACAATGGGACAAAAAAAGGATGGATACGGATGATAAAGATTAGAGCCTTAAACTGGGACAAAGACACCAGAGCTGAAAAAGGTGAGTTTGCAGATCTGACAGGTAACCTGTGTTCCAGGAAAAATACATGAAAAGACAGTCACTACTGAGACATATTCAAACCATATATTCATAAGACTGAATTTTTGACTTTACTTTTAGGCCTGTACTTTACCCCACAGAACATATACCTTCTCAAATACTTCAGGAAAAGTGACGAAATTGATTATAAACTAGGCTACAAATAATACCACAATTTGTCCCCAAAGGAGGAATTACGTAAGCTCCGTACTCTGGCTATAATTTAAAAACCTCAGTTTCTTATAACTTTAACAGAAACATACATACACACACACACACACACACACACACACACTTTTTCCCCTCTGAATAATTATTGAGTCAAAGGCAAATTAAAATCTGGAATAACAGGTTTGCATAACAATGAAACTGACATTAATATATTAAGTGTCTGAAATTTATTTAGAAGTAAATTCATAACCTTAACTGCTTTCATTCAAATAAAACAAGCAAACTGAGCATTCAACTCAAGAACTTAGAAAAAGTAGAAGAAAAACATTCCCAAGGAAAACAGAAGGAAGCGAAACATAAGAATGAAAGTGTAACGTGTTTAATTGGCTTCAGGGGGAAATATTGGGTGACGAGTTAAAAACAAAGTTAAGAAGCAAAGACTAGAGAACCTGAATATTACGTGTCCCACTGTGGACTTTGGATCCTTCTCTGTAGCATTAGTGTTGTGTAAACTAAATATTTCAAAGTTTCTGGAGTGAATTCCTTGCAAGGACTGGCCACTCGGAAGCCAAGGGTTACCAGCAAGCAACAGATTTCTTTAATAAAAACACAGTGGGTAGATTATCCAAGAAAGTAAATATAACTGAAGGTTCTAAAGCCTTGATACCCCAAAAGCATTGCCAAACACTTTCTCCCGTAAAATCATATTTTGTCCCAAGGGGGGACCCCCAGCAGGTCTGAGAAGTACCGCTGCCTGCTGCTGGACCTGGGAGCAAGGAGGGAGACATGTCTCTGCTCAGGAAAGTGCAATGGAAGCTCCTAGATGGTGCTGTGAAATGCAAGATGAGTGAAATACACACCTGCCTTTGAAAAATCAAATATGGGCCTTAGCAGGTCCATAAGTCTGAGTAATTAATAGACTGGAGAAATTCCACGGTGGTCCAGTCCAGACACATCATTCACATAGTTCAAAAAGAAGCATGCCACCCTGATGGTCAGCCCTTCGAGAAATGAATCTTTCCACTGAGCTAAAATTTGCCTGTGTCCACTTTCTCTGCTTAAACTCAGTCCCCACACGTCATCCACCCAGCTTCGGACCCTCTTGCATTGGGTGGCCAATTGCTGGCCTTTGGAGTCAAACCAAAATTCCTGGCAAAGAACTGGGCTCATATAACTGCATGTATAGGTAAATCGTGTGACTACATCATTATATGTTTTAGTGTGATCATACCTGTGCATCTTCATAGAACTTACCTATTATTTTATTACTTTCCCCCAGTTTCTCTTTTATATTATAGTTAAAGCATTATGCTGATTTTTAAATTTACCGTCATTATGAATGGATTAAACAAATCAATAAAAAGGAATGAATGGGGCTTCCCTGGTGGCGCAGTGGTTGAGAGTCCGCCTGCCAATGCAGGGGGCATGGGTTCGTGCCCCGGTCCGGGAAGATCCCACATGCCACAGAGCGGCTGGGCCCGTGAGCCATGGCCGCTGAGCCTGCGCGTCCAGACGGAGCCTGTGCTCCGCAACGGGAGAGGCCACAGCAGTGAGAGGCCCGCGTACCGCAAAGAAAAAAAAAAAAAAAGGAATGAATGACTGGTACACACAACAACGTGGATAAATTTCAAAATAATTATGCTGAGTGAAAGAAGCCAGACCAAAAAAAGAGTATATACTGTAAGTCCATTTATAGAAAACTCTAGAAAGTGTAAACTAATCTATAATGACAAAACAGATCAGTAGTTTTTTGGAGGATTAGGGAGTAGAAAGGGGCACAAGGAAATTTTGGGGGGTGATTGAGATGATGGCTTCATGAGAATTTACATAAATCAAAAATTAGCAAATTGTACACTATAAATATGTCAATAAAGTGCTTAAAATCTTTAAAAATTACTATCATTACACTATATATATATATATTTAAGTAATGAATGTGTTTTTATTTCTCTTATATTTTAAAAAATGTGAACATTCTGTAATTCAGCAGCAACTTTTACTTCCTGGTGACTTCTTCACTGGGTCTTAATTCCCTTTTATATAACAGACTCTTGTTCCGGAAGGCAATTAGCTTTTCATCATTCTTTCTGTCTAGATAACATCCAACGACAAATCCCACAGGGACAAGTATATGTACCCAGCGGTCACACACAATCTGAAGTAAGTTCATCATGAATGCTGAAGCCTCGGAAGCAACAACGACACTACCCACAAAATATATTTTGTGGAAAGGGAGTTATGGGTCTGTCATGGCTGAGAATCCCAGTATTAGGAAAATTCAGAAGTTGGGGCAAAGTTTCTCCCACATGCCTGTTTTCAGGCCAACTCTCTGTGCAATTTATCCAAGTGGCCACTAGAGGCCAGCAGAGGTCCAGGTACAGGAAGGCAGGGGCTGCGGGGACATCAACACGTAAAAGTATTCCCTCCTCTATGCTCGCCAGCCTGGGAGCTGGGCATTAATATCCCCGATTTATGCAGTGGTAGAGCCGGGATTTGGGTTGTGGTCTCTCTGGCTCCTGATTCCACTTTGTTGGTCCCTCAACATCAAGAGCCCTCCCTGTGCTACCATATGTCCTATCTCCAGTGAGGCAGCAGCCTGAGCTCCAGGTCTGTCATCCACAGAAGTGACATGGAGTAGTTGGAGCTGGCATCAAAGAGTTGTGATTCTCAAGGTGCCTTTAGAAGGCCGCTCAGGCTCAAGGTACCCTCTGTATTGGCCTTCCACCTTGCCTGAAACCCTCCTATTATGAAACAAGGAGGACTTCCCTGGTGGCGCAGTAGTTAAGAATCCGCCTGCCAATGCAGGGGGCACGGGTTCGAGCCCTGGTCCAGGAAGATCCCACATGCCGCGGAGCAACTAAGCCCGTGCACCACAACTACTGAGCCTGCGCTCTAGAGCCTGCCAGCCACAACTACTGAGTCCACATGCCGCAACTACTGCAGCCTGCGCGCCTAGAGCCCGTGCTCCGCAACAAGAGAAGCCACTGCAATGAGAAGCCCGCGCACCGCAACGAAGAGTAGCCCCACTCGCGAAGAGTAGCCCGCTCGCCGCAACTAGAGAAAGCTTGCGCGCAGCGACGAAGACCCAATGCAGCCAAAAAAAAAAAAAAAAAAAAAGTCAGCGTTCCATTATCAGACACTGCAACATCACAGGCTTAGCTAACCAGGCTGAAGAGTGAAGCACTGGTGGAAAGGTCATTTTTTATAAGGGACAGGGAAAAGAGACAGGGTTTAATTGGGGGTGGGGAGGTGATGGTGGAGCACCCATGGGATGCTACAATGGAGGCCCCCCAATAAAAACTATTGTTAATACATATTGAGCCCTCCCAGTGTGTGAGGCACGAAGCCGTGTATGCAGTGAATCATTTCATCTTCACAGCACTCTTGTGAAATTAGATGCAGAGAAGTTAAGTAATTCACCCATAATCACAGAGCTTGCAGGAGGTAGAGCAAGGATTTGAATTCAGGTTTGACACCAACATGGTGGGTTTAGCTGCTACTCTGTACTGCTCACTTTCATGGAATTGTCTTTCTTACTCTTTGGGGCTGGGGTATTATTTAGTTCCTGTGTTAAATTGGTTGGTGTTGGTAGCAGGTGGTGGGTATTTTATTTCAAACTTCTGGAGATAAAGCTCCTGACGATTCAAGAGAATTTTAATCCCCTGTGATGGTCCAGGAGGGAAGTCCTCTCTATTTATTGAATATTTTCAATGTGTGAGGTTCTGTGCTAAGGTTGATACTTTCTTAGTGATGCTATTGGAAGGGCAGGTGGGCAGAGACCAGCAACAAGGAATCGAGGGGCAGGTGATATGGAATGACCCAGTGACATTGTTCATTTCTGCCCACAGATGTGTGTCAAAGGCAGCGGGGCCCCACCTCAGCTGGAGTCCCGAGCAGGTGACTAGACCAGGATGTAGGTCCAGGGAGCTCACCAAAAGGCCCCAGTCGTCAGGAAAAGCCAAACCATCCCAGTGAGCAGATAACTCATGTGTGTGGTTTGTGGGTGATGAAGTATTCCAGCGGTTTCTTTTGTAATTTTTTTTTATTTTTATTTTTGGCTGTGTTGGGTCTTTGTTGCTGTGTGCAAGCTTTCTCTAGTTGTGGCGAGCGGGAGCTACTCTTTGTTGCAGTGCGTGGGCTTCTCATTGCGGTGGCCTCTCTTGTTGTGGCTTACGGGCCCTAGAACACAGCCTCAGTAGTTGTGGCGCACAGGCTTAGATGCTCCATGGAATGTGAGATCTTTCCGGACCAGGGATCGAACCCGTGTCCCCTGCGTTGGCAGGCGGATTCTTAACCACTGCACAACCAGTGAAGTCCCTCTCCAGAGGTTTCTTTCCTGGACATCCTTCCCCTTGGGCTTGGACCGGTCCGCCTGGGATCATGCAGCTTGATCCTCCAGGCAAGGTGCCTCAGGGAGGTGGCCTCTTCTGTTCTGCAGGGCCCATCAGCTATGGGCTTCTGCCCATCCTGCTGCTTTTACGCTCTTATGGACACATGGTAAGGGTGATACAGGCACCAAGTAAAGGCTCCAGGGCTGCACAGGTGAGGACAAAGCAAAAGGAGGCCAGAGATAAACAAGTCCTCACAGACCCATTGGATCCACTTGCTTCATTTCATAGATGGGAAAACTAAGGACTGGGGAGGGGAAAAGACTCGACCAAGGCTACACGCAGGGTGAGCTAATGGCCAAGTTGGGGGTAGGACTCGCAGCACAGTCTCTTTCTCCCACACGCCCCAGACTTAGTTAATGATAGGTCCTTGCTTCTGGACACTTCTTTGTACTTTGTCTATTACTATTTACTCATTATCTTGTGTCTTTCTGAAAACAATAATTCTTTAATATCATTACATATTCAGTCAGTGTTCAAATTTCTAATTGTTCTATGCCAAAAAGCATTTTTTTAACAATTGGATTAAATCAAGATCCAAATAAGATGCACTCAGTGTGATTGGTTGATGTCTCCTAAATCTCTTTTAATCCATAGGTTTCTCTCCCCTCTTTCGCTTTTTCTTTGTAATTTATTATTGAAGAAGGCAGAGCATATACCTTGTAGATTGTCCACAGTCTGTGTTTTGATGATTACAAGCCCATGATGTAGTTTAACATATTGCTCTGTCTTCTATAATTCCTGTAAATTGACAGTTGAGTCTAAAGGTTTGATCAGATTAAGATCAAAGCAGGTGTTGTGTTCTTCCATCAAAGGGACATAATGTCTAGTTGGCTTCCTTTTTGTGACATTAGCAGCTGTTGATGCCCAATGCCTGGATCCATTAATTCTCTGGGAGTTAAACATGGTGACATCCTAATTCTATAATTCCTTCTTCATTTAGTAACTGGTTTATTTCAATAAAGAGAAACTTCCCCTCCTCTACTATCGGTTACCTGGGCTATTATCTCATGAATTCTGTGAGAATTCTGGGTCGGTACAAGTGTACTCCATTTCTATATGAGCACAGAGGTCAGAGGGGTAAAGGGAACTGTAACCAGAAGAACTGTCCAGCTGAGCCCCCATCAACCCACAGAATTATAATAAATAATTAAATAGGAGTTGTCTTAAGGCCCTAAATCAGGCAGCAGCCCATGGGTGGCAAACCTGGGCTTAAGGACTCCTAGGTCTTTTTCTCCCTTCATAGGAGGACAGATCTGCACAGAATCTTAAACATCACCCAGTTCAGCCTTGTCAGGTTCAGATGGGGAAGTTGAGGAGGTGTAGTGACTTACGCAGACTTGCACACATAACCAAGGTCCTGGGCATAACCTTAAAGGAAACCCCTAAAAATTCCTGTGATCAGTTCCAGGGTCTTTGATGCCTGTGTCTGCCGTTCCTGCTCCACAGCCTGTGCTTGTACCCAGTGCACCGTCTCTCGACCTGGTCCTACTGTTGTGTCCCCAGTGCCCAAGATCAACACTTGATAAATAGTTGAATGAATACATGAATGAAGGTTCCATTGTTTTTACCTCTCCAGAACTGGCTGCTCGTGGACCTGACCACTGGGCAAGGTCCTGCAGGCATTGGTCCTGCTGTAGATGTCCAGAGAGCTGCCAGCCTGTCAGGCACAGGGCAGGAGCCACGGTAAGAGGATGAGAGAGAAGCGGGAAGGAGCAGGGTTCACTCTAAGAAAGCAACTGGAGCGGCAGACTGTACTCCACCCTGGCAAGAGGCAAATGCAGCAACACATAATCCTGCAGGGAGCATGGATGGGGGGCACCAGTAAGTGGCACTGAGATGGGGCGGGGACAGAACTCCAGGGCACAGGACGGGCAAGGCAGGGCCCTCAGCCTCATACTGGGCAGGTGACCAAGGCAGGAACTCAAGCCAAGGATCAAATCAGAAGCCATGAGGATTAGTTAGGATTAAGCTGAGTGGAGAGGAATGGAAAACCCCAGCTATCACTGGCGCAAACAGGGTAGAAGCTCATTTTCTTCTCACGTTAAGACACCCCAAGGGAGTCAGTCTACCACCAACAGGGTGCTCCATGGTACAAAGGAGATGAAAGAGAGAGAGGACCCAGGCTCCCCTGTCATCTTCAATCATAACTTTGCTCCTTGGACCAAAAAGGCTGCTGGGACTTTCCTTGCCCAAGCCTTTCCTTGCCATATTCCAGGTATCAAGAAAGAGTAGGGGAAGGAGAAGAGCAGTCTCCTTTTTTAGGGCATTTTCTAGAATTGTGCAGACTACTTCACTTAGATTCTATTGGCCAAAACTGAGTCACATAACTAGACCTAGCCACAAATGACAATGGGAAATACCGTCTTCATTTCACACATTCATGGGCCCAGCTAAAAATCAGAGAGTCAGTAAGTGAAGGTCAGAGAACACGTATCCAGTGACTCAAATTATGATACAAGGCAGAAGTCAGCAGGGGACTCACAGCTTAGGCCCAGGTGCTGGGCTGTAGCTGTTTCCATCCCTGCTGCCCTAGGTCCCAGGGCTTGGGCAGAGTGAGGTCATATGAGTGCAGTTGTGGGGAGGGAGGGGGTGTTGAGCCCAGCCACAGGGCCTGACGGTCCCTGAGTACCAGAGCAGCAGCAGTGGACCTTTTACAGCTAAGCATAGCATGAGCCCTGGAAGAAGTGTCTGCTCACTGTCAAGGACAGGCACAGACTCAAAGGCCAACAACTGCCTGATGCCGTGAAAAGCGTCCTTAAGATGATGAATCCGGGGCCACAGACCGCCTTTTCCCAGGAGGCAGTGACGTGGCTGAGGACAACTGCCTT